TAGCAAGAGATGCGATTGAAAAGAAAGAATACTGCACTGCAGCCTTTTTGGATGTCTCACAAGCATTTGATAAAGTATGGCATGAGGGGCCTGCTATCTAAAATAAAACTCACTTTCCTCATCCTCTGTATGCTCTTCTGAGATCCTACCTTACCAATCGATATTTCCAGGTCAGATGCAATGAAGCAGTATCAAACATATCTCCAATTCTATCGGGAGGTACCTCAGGGTAGTATATTGGGACCAACTTTATACTTACTCTATACGGCAGATATTCCCACAAGAGTAAACAGCACAATCGCTACCTATGCAGATGATACTGTGATAATGGTGTCTAGCTCGGTTCCTGTTACAGCCTGTCAAAATTTACAAATTCATTTAAATGAACTAGAGAAATGGTTAAAATTGTGGCGAATTAAAGTAAATGGCAGCAAATCAGCACATATAACATTTACTTTACGCAAAGAGAGTGTACCATCTGTGTGCATAAACAATACCATAATACCCAAAAAAAGTGATGTTAAATACTTGGGAATACATTTTGACAGCCGACTAAATTGGGGAAAGCACATCTGGACAAAGCGACTGCAACTAGGATTAATATACAGGAAAATGTATTGGTTCATGAATAAAAAATCCAAACTAAGTCTACATAATAAATTATTACTGTTTATATGTGTTCTAAAGCCAGTGTTGGACCTACGGTATTACAGATATGGGGTACAGCATCTAATTTCACTTACTGAACTTCAACGTTTCCAATCTAAGTTTTGAGACATATTTACCAATGCACCGTGGTACGTGCCCAATTATGTGATACTACCGAGATCTTCAGATCCAAAATATTAAAGACACCGTTGTCTCACTCAGTGGCACTTACAAAATTAGACTACTAAACCATCCATAATACACTTGCCCAATGACCTACTTAAGCGACCAAGGAGAGGAAGACTAAAACGACGTGATCCTCTAGACCTCTCTATACCTTTATATACATAAACGTATATATCGTTTTATAGCTACAACTGATACTACATATACCTAAAACTTATAATTGTGTGTGTTGTTATAATTTTAACTATTACTATTTTTTTTTAATATGTTAGTAAAATGTCTTTGTAAATTGTTATTTTATATTTCAAATATTTATATATATTAGAAATTTATTCTTAAGGATTTCTGTCACTGGACAGCTCTCCCCTATGTTAATTACTTGATAAACATATTGATTATTGTTTTTTTATTTGTAGAAACAGATTTCAATAAATAAAGGATGAAAAAAAAAAAAAAAGTTTTGAACGACTTCCTCACTACTTTTCTTCGTGTAGTATGTAGTTTCATTGCCACGTGTCACTCCGAAATTTCTGTCCTCCCAACATCAAAGGTTCCGACAAAGCTTTCGCTTCTTGTTGGGATGGAGTATTCTGTGGTATAATCAAAATGTACTTTTGAAAAGCTTTCTCCTCTTTATATTTGAAGCATACAACTTATGTATTATAAAAACATTAACACTGCCAAATCCAAATATTTTTGACATTCGCGGCTATATTCAGTTTGTACTTTCGGTAAACTCAACCAAAAGTAATATCTAACGTAAACTTGCATTTGCAGCCGCATTAACCACATTGGTTATTAGCGGATGGATTTAATGTAAACAATAATGATTACAAATAACAAATAAATACTTACATACTTACCTATATGTGGTTCAATATGTTACAGTCTCTTAAAAAATTTCACAATATTTTTACTGGTACAGCGGCGGCTCGTGGCCTAAAAAAGTGATGAAGACGAGGAAACCTTGCAGGAGCCAAAAGGAGTTTTGGTACCTACGTCGCGCCCAAATCTCATTAAAAATTCGGTAAAAAAATGTATAGTTATAAAAAAACTAAACTAATAAATACTATTACACTATACTATAAAAAATGTCTATATAATAGACTAAATTTCAAAATATTGTTGCTGCGAATACTAAATAGGTACCCATGAAACTAGTGGCCAGTGGGTGAAGACGGATAATGTTTTAACTGAACTGCACTAGCTATTTTTCTCAACTATCACTAGCGACAGGCTGACGTCACGTTGCCATGGCAACCGTGAACACTTATGCAGATGGATTTCGCATTTCAAAAATTATATTCATCTATTCCTGAATCATAAACAGCAAGTGACACAGGTCAGGACTTGGCCGTCAAGTACCTACCGCACCGCTAATAAACTAGCTATCTTTTTTAATTTTTAGATTAATTTAAAGAGAATAACTAATAACTAAGAACCTCACCTTCACCTAGCCGGCCGCCGCTGCACTGGTACACTCACTAAAAATATCTCTTATAACTGATGGAATTTTATTAATTAGTCTTTCAGCACTATATTTGGGACACTCCATTAATACGTCTTTCACTGTTAACGGCACGCCACAACTCGTACATTTTGGTTAAGGTTCATTCTTCATGAAATATTCATGTGTGAGTTTGCTGTGTCCTAATCGGAGTCAGGTTAATATAACCTGAAGGAAACGGCTAGGGACGTTGTTACTCCATCGTCCAAAATTTGGTTTAGTTTCTTTTAACTTTGCGGATTTTTCTTCCCAACATTTAGTCCAATTACACATCAGCTTTTGTTTAAAATACGGATTGAGATTTTCTGCTAATGGTTTTATTATCGGTCTGATATTTGGGGAATTTGCTATTTCTCGAGCGTTTTTATCATCTATTTCGTTTCCTTTAATGCCTATATGTGATGGTACCCAGACAAAGACTAATGTTTTGTTTTCCAGCTGCTGCATCTTGTTTTTAATTAATTTAGCAATCTGGTTGCAGGTGTACATTTTTGACAGCATATGGAGGGAATTGATTAAGTCAGTAATAATAAGGAATTTATCTGATTTGACTGTTTGTATGTGATTTAGAGTTCTGTATATTGCATACATTTCTCCAGTTATCACAGTGGATTCTGTGGGCAATTTGAAACTTTTTATTATGTCTTTTATAACAAATGATCCTACACCAGAAGTTATTTTAGATACATCTGTGCAAACTTAGATATATTCACGGAAAGAAGAAAGTATTCTATTATAATTGCTTATAAATATTTGTGGATTAGTTTCAGATTTATGATAGGATGATAGTTCTAAATTTAAAGTAGGCAGAGGTATTAACCAAGGAGGTCTCGTGTTTACGTTTGCTAAATGTGTTGAGGGAAAGTTAAAAATTTCAATAGAGTTTAAAATGGTTTTGATACTTAATTGAAATGGTAAATGTGTTCTTATATTGATATTTGATAACGATGACCGAGTAAGAAAAGGGTTGTCAGGTTGTAGTGATCATTGTTTTGAAGCGTAAGATAGACCAAGTAATTTCCGTCGTTCGTGTAGTGATGGCTCTCCAACTTCCCACTCGAGGCTTGCAACAGGAGTTGTTCTATAAGCTCCAGAGATTATGCGTAATGCATTGTTGTGTATAATGTCTAAGATTTTTAAATTTGATTCCGACGCTGAAGAATATGCAATGCATCCGTAGTCCAATTTTGATCGGATTAGGCTTGTATACAACAGTAATAATGTATCTCCGTCAGCACCCCATTGTTTGTTGGCTAACTATTTAAGAAGATTTATACCATTTTGAAATGATATCGCCAATTTTTTAATCTGTGGTTTCCAACAAAACATCATTCATTGTTATTAAAAAAAGTGTAGGGCTAATACAGATCCTTGTGGTGTTCCAATATCTTGAGACTTAATACTAGAAAGTTTTCCATTACTACGTACTGAAAATTTGCGTTCATTTAGAAAGAAATTTAGAAAGTCAAAAATGCCAACATGTTTCCTTGAATTCCCCAAGTCTGCAGCTTTATTAATATTCTGTGTCGCCATGCTAAGTCAAGATGTCAAAGTAAACAGCTATGCATTTCTGTTTGTTACAGAAGGCTTCATTAATTTGACTTTCTAAATGTAAAACATTGTCTATAGTATATCTCAAAGGACGAAATCCAGCTTGTTCCGGTATAAGTAAATTGAGATGTTCCAAATTCACATAAGTCTATTATTTATTATTTTCTCTAGCAGTTTGCAAGTAGAACATGTGAGTAAGTGATTCGTGATTCAAATATGAAAATTATGGACATGGGACTGCACATGATTCCAAATATTGGACAACTCAGCCTTACTAATAAAATTAACAAATGAAGATTTTAGATATGGACTGTTACTATGGTTATCCACTAAAACCATTTTCAATGACCCCATTAAACAAAACAAAGTATGGAAGAGAAAATTATTTAATGAAACTGCCTGTAAAGTGAAAACAATTGAGTTAATTGTTGTAGCTACAGTAGAAAATTAAAGAAGTTATCCAACTTCCGGATGAAAATGCAAACAATGAAGGTGAAGATGTTCCAGTTAACATAATAGAATATTTTCAAATTATGGGAAGAGCTCAGAGAAACAATATGAATGAAATATTTTTGTTATTTACATAAGAACATTGATTTTTAAATTAAAAAGTTATAATTTCTAATTTCAATTTGTCTATTGCACTTTCCTCCTCCTATTGTATATGAAGTCTTGTGTGATTATTTACTATGTCCTTATTTATGGTTTCTATTTTTATTTTTATATTTATTAAATTTATTAGCAACCTATGATACCAAGATATTTTTTCCTAACACTATGGTATCTACTTTTGAAACTGCTGTTGATAAAACTAAGGGCATAATGGATGCCTTTTCTTTTTAGCATCTGTTTTTTGGTATGTATTCTTTATTTTTCGCTTTTGGCCAAGGTACAATCTCCTGATGGGACTTTACAATAGAGCCTGATCTGTCTGCTTTGCGATAATCTATCGCCTGGGTATCACAACCATTAAAATCTGGCCTGGGAACCACAAATCATTGTCCAATATTTCATTCTTAATTTTATCAATACATACTTTTTTCCAAGTTTACATTGGATAAAAGCAGCATTTTTAGAAATAAAAATCAATTAAAAATAAAATAACTTTATAAAAACTGTTATAAATTAAATAAGTCTTAACAATTTATCTTATTCGCTTTAAAGTCACAGCGGGCCAAATTAAGAAAACTGCACCTGTTAGGTAAGTAATTTTAGAGCCTACGCTCCAAAATGCCACGCTTGCTAAAATTGGTCCAATAGCTCGGGCTAGAGCACCTAGAGATCTGAAAATACCCATAACTGTTCCTTTTTGCTGCTCCGTACCATATTCCGACGCCATTGTCATTATACTCGGAACCACCATTGCTGTTGCTACAAGAAATTTAAAATAAAAACAAAATGGTAAGTCCGTGACACACAGTCAAATATTTGAACAAATTGGTTTGACCAAACCAAAAAATTGACAGCATATGACGTCACATCGTAAATTTGATCAAATCCTCTAAAAATTGAGGACTTGTTCTTTAAGGTTAGTTTGAATTAACTTTAATTTTGATTGGTCGAAAAATATCTAAAGCAGATGGCAATCAGCAATTAGAAATAATGTGATGAAATTCATTTTCCTTGGTTGACAGTGTGTGGTTTACTTGTCTTCCTATTTTGTTATGAACTAAAAATAAAAATATAACATATGTTGGAGCCAGGAACAAGTTTCTACATACTTGATTTATATCGAGAAAGAAGCTGTTTATATAATGTGAACCATCTAGATTATTATAAAAAAATCCTTTCATCCTTTTTATTTTCATTGTGAATAAGAAAAAATTGAATCATAAATAAAGCACAAGCGACTAATAAATAAGCAAAAGAGACAATTAATTTCATTGACATACTTTAATTTGATCAAATTTGGATGATCATGTGACAGGTAGATTTTTAAAATTTGAACAAACTGTAATTATGACGTCATTACGTCAGTTTGCTCAAATATTTGACTGTCTGACACGGACTTTACACTTCAGAAAAACAAAAGAACAATTATAAAAACATTTAAAAAAGTTAGTGACAGTTGAAGAAATTTCTTTTAAGCAGTTAGTTTGAGAGAGTCTAGTCTTAAGAAGAAACTACTAAAAAGCTCCATATCTTTTCTTCTCTGTATCCTTCGTACAGCATTTGCACTGCAAACAATCTTCCATTAAGTATACAAATCCTCGAGATTTCGGCAGATCCTCTAAATATAAGCTTCCGGTCAACACCTGATAGATCCAATAGCAAGATGTTGAAGCTGCCCTACTGTGCTGGAGGCTCCCCTGGATAACCATATTATATAACAACTCTGAATATTTCATCTAGGAAACAGGATGTTCATTTAGGTTAGAATAAACAGGACAGACAAAGATTTAATAATTGTCTTCCAATTTTGAGTGCCTACTCACTGTCTTTAGCAGTTTAGTATATAAGGTATCGTTGGTCGCAGTAGCCTATTGTCCAATATAACAGCGTGTATGTGGTTTTTTTCTGTGTTTTCCAGCATTCTTGATTTTTTCCATTAAAATCACTAAGTGAGAGTTTTCATTCGGTTGAAAGTTGAAGCATAACACAACATGAAAGTAACAATAAAAAACAATTTTCGAACATACCCTTACGGTAAAATCTAGATCCACTGAGACTATTCTTAACATTGGCTTGTATTAAGTCATGAGACAATCTCATTGTTAGTTCAATGTCCAGCCAAACAACCATCCTCTTTTATTTTTTGGATGCCTTCACAACACTTTCTGCAATGTAAATAGTGTTCATGACAGAGTATAACTTTGTGTTAATAACAGTGAATGTTTGGTTTCTTGCTCTGTTACAGCAAGAGGGAAAAAGGCAGTTTCACTGTATCTTTGATGCTTTTGCCTTAATACTCATAACTGAAAAAATCCCACCACCTTCAATATTTACTCCTAGAGAAATAAATTCTAAGATATACTTACAAATAGCAAACAGTAGCAGTCCCAAATACAGAACGAAAAATTCAAATGCTATTCCAACACATATAAAGGACGGTATAATTAACCACAATCCCTTTATGGCTATTGATTTAATTTTACTGGGATGTATTCTTCTCACATAAATACCTTGTATCACAGACATTGTTAAACCTAAAATATGTTTGTATTGAGGAAAGAAAGTTTATACATACATTCATTTTACAAATTCCCAACTGTCAACAAACGCACGTGAAAGCCAAACAGAGTCGTACTGAGGTGTATCATATGAATTTTTAAAATATTTACTTTTGAAACTGTTAGTGTAAGAATTTCTTGAAATCTAATCATTGTGAGCAAAATGAATGGTCCATTGAAGAAAAATACACTAAAATAAAATATTCATTAACTGAGAAATACATAACCAAGTGAACGTTTTGAAAAAAGTAGCATTGTCATAAGTTTATCAAAGCATAAAAACATACAATTTAAATTAATCAAAGTCTGAGGAGCTACATGTGCTGCTGTCTTCGTCTGGATTTATTATTATGGATTCGATATGGTTCTCTATTATATTGTCCAACTTCCACATTTTGGACTTTTTGTTGTATGCACAACTGTGTATTGCACATCATTTTTCTGCCTACGTTAGTTTTTGGACTAATTACTTCTGCAGTGTCTCATGATGTATGGTGGCAGCCTAACTACCTTGTTTTGGCTTTTTGCCATCTCATCAATGATCTGTTTATTATATTGTCCCTTATGTTCCTTAACGACTAGTCAGCAGTTGCACATTTAACATGGAGTCCTCAAACACTATATTTTTTGATTTCAGCCACGCTTGGATGTCAGCTTTTCTCAGAGTTTTTTCACTGAGTCAATACTTCGAGTTATTTACGAGTGAATAATATGTTCATTTTTCAACAACACAAAAAACAAGGTTTTTAGACGGATTTTGCAAATAACTCAAAAAGTAACTATTTTATCGACAAAATATTCTTAGCAAAAATATAGCTTATAAAGTAGCAAAAAAAATGGTGTACGTATAAAGCCAGAAGCACATTTGTAGCTAATGAAAAGTAGGTTCTTATTCGTCAAATACCAAATCGAATATTTCAACGTGAAAGAATAAAAAAAAACAAGCACTTTCCCCGACAGCGAGTTTTCACCGAAAAGTGCTTCACTTTTTTGATATTTCTCGTTGAAAGATTCGACTTGAATTACTTTTCATTAGCTGCAACTCTGTTTTTACTGAGTCTACAGACTTCATATAGGTATAAGTATATCATTTTTTAAAACTTTTTTATAAGCTATATTTTTTCTAAGAATGTGTTTTAGGATAAAATACTTACTTTTTGAGTATTTGCGGAAAACCGTCTAAAAACGTGTTTTTTTTGAAAAAAGAAATTATTCACTCGCAAATAACTCGATAAGTATTGACTTTGCGCAAAAACTGTATAAAATAAAAGTTGATTAGAATTAGTCCGTTTATTCAATTCTGGACTTATTTTGAACGTATGTTTTTTCACACCCGAGAAGGGGTGAAACTCACCCCCATGGCAAAAGCACACATCGGCACAATATCACTTGTTTTCTTTGTCGTTAGCTATGTATATGACAAATTTTATGTCAATCCAAGCGGTTCTTTAATATTTACAGCAAAAACCCTGAATAAATGTGACTAAACAGGAAATAAAACGTTTCAAAACATCAATAAATTGAAATATTGGTTTCTCTTACCTTTATTAAAGTGATTACCGCAAGCTATTTTTACTTTTGATTAACAAATACTTTGTTTTTGGATACTAAAAGACTACTAAAAAATTACACACTATAAAACTTAATACTAAACACTTAAACTAAACTCTAAAAAATAACACTACCTGTAAATATCTTAACAATAACTATAACATATAGCACACAATATATTAACTTAAAACCAACACGCTATAATTTGAATTTAAACATACTCACAAGTTTGGAACTGTAAAATGAGAATCCGTCTGGCTCAAGGCAATAATATTTAATAGCCTCTTGACGAATGAGAGGACGAATATCAACACGTGTGTTTGTTTACAGTTGGTAATTTGTTGAACGAATGTACTTTAGTTGTAAACACGTACCGACAAAAATTGACGGCATAATTTTTCAAGTTGTTATTACATATTGTAGTATTGCTTTATATGTGATTCATGCTGAGTCAAATGATCCTTTAAAAATGTCCCATGGGTTTGTAGTCTATAATATTCAATATATCTTTAAATATCAATTCCAACTCAAAATAATGAATGTGAATAGATGTTCTAGAGATTTGAATAGTTATGCAGCCAGCATACATAGTACAGCTTTCAGCCAGACATAGTTAATAATATACATTGAGTTCACTGCGCTTTATTTATAAGTTATTGTAATGCAGTTAAGGGTGTATGTTCACGCCGCAGTTAAAATGAGTGGCATTCAAATAAACTAACATTTAACAATTTTTTGAGTAAATGGCAGCACGTGCATCATATTCCAATATTTTAATTTTCCCGAAATTTAAGTCTCTGATCAGAGACATAGTTGCCAGCGAGGCGAAGTACTGGGAGTTATAATATTTTTGTTATTAATATTTTTATAATAATTTTTTATATATATAATTTATGTTGTGTTGTTATTTATTTACCTTTGAGGTTGCTGTTTTGATGTTGAGTGTTATTTTTTTTTTGGTTTTATAAAAATTTTAAATAGTGTATACCAGTATTGTTTCCTAATATTGAAGAAAATAGATAGGTAAGTACCTATTGCTATAACCCTTGTGCAAGAAGTTCATTTGACGATAGTGGCCATGCCACCCCCAAAACTTTTGATTTTGTTTTATGTCAACATGGGTAGTGTTGCTAATATTTAAGTATTAGTTAAATAACGGTGATTTTGTTTTGTGCTTTTATTTGTAATGGTATGCCAATGGTTATCTATTAAATATTTTTCAGGTGTGAACAAAATGACCAGATTAAAGTCCTTTAATAAAAGATCTACAAGAAATATGGCGTTTACAAGAGTTGGGAAATCATTTGCGAAAAAGATTTCGTGCTGAATATCTGGCTCAACTCAAAGCAGGAACGAAGAAGCCGAAGTTGTCTACAGTGTCAATCGGGGATGTCATTTTAGTCGGCAATGACAACATCAAGCGTTTTCAGTGGCCTTTAGGAAAAGTTATTGAACTTATACCTGGTAGGGATGACCAGGTAAGGTTGATTCGTCTTGCGACTGAACAAGGGCAACTTCTGAGACCATTACACCACGATTATATAACGTTAGGGTGCCAAGGATAAAAATGGTATACTTGTATTTTTAAAACACTGTGACGTTATGCAATCATGATTGATAATTGAAAGTCAAACGAAATCATAATATTAACTAGGAGGAGCCGCTTTGCTAAACAAAACCACGTGATTAGTATTACCATGGTTACTGCATAACAAATATACAATTGGCATAACCACAAAACTAGGTTTCAATGTTTTGCAGATTTTTGTTAAATTTGGCAAACGCGCGCCTGTCGCCATTCAATATATCACTGCTACCTTCTACTAAATGACACGTGAACTTATTTTCACATCTATTAAGTGATAGCCGAACTAATTTCTCACTATCAAAATGCCAACTTATAACGGTAACATCAACAAAATCCCTAGTTTGCAGCTTTTAATTGTAATTTTATCTTTAGGCACAGTTAATTTAAAAATTACGGCAGTATGGATAACGAATATTTGCTTAATATAAAGATTTTTGGATAGTTTATCATTTATCGTAGTTGTTTTGTACCTAAGTTCAAAAATTATTACACAAATTTTAAATTTCAAAAATGAAATTTGTTTTTTAAAAAATATTTTTATTTCTAAGCTACAAATAAATACATCTAAACTGAACAAGACCAAGAATAATAATAATTTTACAATGCGAATAATTAAAGAAACAATATGATAACTTCTAGGGGAAACTGCAGAGTAAGTTGCAGGTGTTGGTTGCGATTCTGCCAGGTCCGGACTTTCGTACCATGTAACTCCTCCATCCTTAAGAGGAAAAAATAACGGAGGTATTTTTGGATTCCAAATTTTGGGGACATCTTTCTTCCAATGGAATTTCGTCAGGAACCTTCTTATTTTTGCAATACTTTCGGTATCTGGTGATGATGTAAATTATAACGATTAGTATTAATATAGATAAGATGACTGAACCGGTGCTGATAAAGGGTGTAGTTGGGAAGCCAATTTCTTCTACTGGTGAAAGATTTCTGGTAATTCTGTTAATTTCGTATAGACCTTCCATATCGATTTTGCTCAAATTGGTTACTTGATATTTTACCTTTTCAGTCGAGAAATTTTCTAGTTTTGGTAATATTATGATTTTTCCAGATTGGATTCGTGGATTGTTTGAAAATTTTAAGGTTCCAACTTCTATTTCACATTTTGGTGGGATTTCTATTAACGAAGGATCTTTTATTTCCAAAAACGAATTGGACTCACATTTTGAGATTAATTTGACAGTACTGGATGGGATTATTAAGATCTGGTTCTCCATGACGTGCTCGATAATGGGTTCTTGTAGATTTATTTCAGTGGCGTAGCATTTCTCTGGGTTACGTCCATCAATTAATTTATAGGTGCAGGTATCTATTTGGGTGTAGTCCTGTTGGCAGTAGTATCTGGTTTCGAGGATGGGACATTCTTCTTTTATCGATAGTGATTTTTCTCCTTTTGCCAAGTAGGGATATAAAGGAATATATGTTTGATGATTTTGTATTACGGGGTAAACATGGAAAAAATCGTAATTTTCTGATTTGAATATAGGAACATGGATAGCGAATATAAGCTTGGATTCGTAAAAGGTTACTTGGGTACTGAGAAACAGATAGTATGTTAGGGCATTGTTAAATTTTGCGATTTGTTCTTCTTTGTATATATGTGATAAATATGACATCATTTCTGAGATTTCTTGGGTAGATATTATTGAATTATGAAGAGTATTTAATTTAGAGAAAACTATCGAATTTTCAATATTGTCAATAAATGTTATTAAATTTTGGCAATCAAGATTAATCTGGTAAAGAATACTTTGATAAGTTATGTAATTATTCAAAGTGATTATTTTGGTTTCTAATGAATATTTAAATTTTTCTATATTGTCTTGCA